CTTAAAATGTGAGAATGCAACTTACCTCAAGTTTAGCAATTTAAAAATAATTTATCTTTTTGTTTTTTTTATCTTTTTTTTATCATATTACTTCTCTACTTTTTTGCACATCTTTTCATAAAATGACAAAAAGTACACTTACTTAGGTCATCCTAAACGAATCCGGATCCTCTCTAGCCAAAGAGCCCCTCTTGTCCTCCGGTCAAGGGCCACGATTTACTACGTGGCCCTTTGAAGATCTACGATTCAGAAAAAAAAAACAAAAACAAAAACAAAACAAAACAAAAAAAAAAAAAAACAAATTTGAATTTCTTCATTTCGACCCAGCACAAAGCTTCCCTTAATACAACCACACACCACAAAAAAATTTGAATTTCTTCTCCAGATCAGTGAACTGCGACGGCATGTCGTGACCGACGACGGCGAATCGAAGTCGGCGGCGAACATCGGTGGGCTCTCCCTCTCTCCCTCTGTCTTACTCCGAACATTTGGATTGCGATTTGAGCCGAGATTGGAGCCGCGAACCATAGTTAAAGGTAAAAAAAAAATTTGTCGTCCTTCGGATTGGCCATAAAAAATCTGAAGCACCATTGAAAAAATCTGAAGCACCACTTTAGTTAAATGTCTGTTTAGATTGAAAAAATCTGAAGCACCATAAAAAATATCCCGTCCTTCGGATTGGCCAGTTAAATGTCTTTTTAGGTTAAATGTCTGCTTTGATTGTGGATTGGCCAGTTCTTAGTAGTTTGGACCGCCTTATAATTGTTGATTTATTTGATCTTCAAATTAGTGAAGGAGATGGCAATGCATATTTGATTGTGGATTGGCCAGTGCTTATAAACTAACAGTTTTTGGGTTGTTTCTTGTATGCTCTGTTATCTATCTAGTTCTTTTACTTTGTTCTTATTGACTAAATTTTGCCCCAAATGTGTTTTTTAGTGGACTTTGGAACTATTTCTTCTCTCCTAAATCCTAACATAAGCATAGTTCTTCACTTTTTTAAAAGGAAAATTCCAATATATAGAAAATCCATATATGTTTTTCTTAGAATTGGGAAGGCTTCATGGTAATGTTTTGACAAATTGAATGACAGTTTTGGCAGCATTGGTTCACCTGCTTTTGACTTTGTTATTCTTATAAATAAAACTTGCAACACAACAATTCCAAATATTTAGCAAATCCATATATGTTTTTCTTAGAATTGGGTAGGCATTTCATGGTAATTTTTGACAAATTGAATGACAGCTTTGGCAGCATTGACAGCAGGAAGAGGCCCAAATATATCAATTGAGTTTGTGTTCAAATTTTCATGAACATCAATGGTTCAGCATTGATATGGGAATGTTAAAAATGTTACTTTCCATTGGATCTCTGAATACTGGTCTCTTTTTGTTTACAATGGACAGAAAGTCCATTTTAGTGATGGTCAAATCTATTGAGTAGTTATCCTGTAACTCTTTTCGATTGACAATTGAAATTTCCGTGTTAGGAATATATCCAAGACGGCATTGATTGGGCCAGAGTTGATTTTGAAGACAACCAAGACTGTTTGAATCTTTTTGAAAAGGTATAGAGATCATTGATGCATTGGCTTCAATGTGCTAATTATGATGTGTAGTGTTTGTAGTGTTTTGTTTCTTGTGTTTTTTACATTGTTAGTATAAGATGATATTGTCCTCTGTGCCTTGTCAAAATCCAAAAGAACCATGAAGATCTAATATTGATTTTTTTATGTGTTGTACAAATTGAAACATTATCCCCCCTCATGTTATGAATAGTTACGTGGTACGATATTGAAAGTCTGTATCAGATGTTGGTAATGAAAATAAATTGGGGTGGAGGATTGGTTGGTAATGAAAATAAAGTTTCCGATGCTTTTGTTAAAAGGTTTAAACCTATTGTTATTTACTGTCTGTCTGTCACATTTATTATGTATATACATATCAAGTAATGCCCTTTGACCTCTTTCTTGGATGCAGAAACCATTGGGGTTATTGTCTCTGTTAGATGAAGAGTCTACCTTCCCAAATGCTAATTTTTTGAATGATGCCTTGCTTAAACTGACATATTCTGAACTACATATACAATAGAAAGCAGTAAAAATTAAGAAGATTTAGAGAGTGATTAAACAATAAGTAGGAAATTAAGAAGCATTTACCATCACCACAGCTGCACTCTCCATGTCAACTGATGAAACTTGAAAAGTATTGAAGAGGAAGTCCCTATATGCTGCATTGCCTGCAAAAATGGGGGCTTCACTTTTTATTGAGATTGTTCCCAATAATCATTCACCATTAATAAGCTCTAATAATTTACACAATGATAGTTTGTGAGAGTCCAAAATGTGAGAATGGATTTGGCCTTTCACACTGCTATATTGTGGTTTTTCTTGTTGGAATAAACGTAATCAGGCTATTTGATAATTTTTGTGCTACTTGATAATTTTTTGTAGGTCAATGTCAATGTCAAGCACAAATGCAAGTATGGACAACATGCATGAAGTTAGATTCGAAAACCGCAATTGTCGATGTGGCAAAAAAGCTATGGTGAAGATTTCTCAGTCAACGGATAATCCAAATTGCTTTTATTTTGTATGCCCTAATTATCCGAATGGTTGTAACTTCTTTCAATGGTGGATCCCTCCACATATGTAGCATAATTTGAAGGTGGTCGAGAATGATATTGATAAAGAACGCATGCAAGTTTTGTCTACTCTTAGAGAAGTAATTATCGTGAATGAGGAGCTCAAAGACATGACTATGAAGAGTAGGAAACAATATAGAGACTGGGCAATGGTGGTTGAAAGAGTTGGTGAAAAATTGAATTATGCCTTTGTTTTTTTGTTTTGTTTTGTTGTTGGTGGTAGTTGTGATTCTAGTGTATTTGAAATAGTGTATGTAATGTAAGGTAGTGTTAGTATGACTTGTATTGTAGGTTGAATGTGTATGTAATGTAAGGTAGTATGAGTATGACTTGTAATGTATGTTGAATGTGTATGTAATGTATGGTGGACCACTACTATTTTGTTCAAGTGGTAATGAATGTAATGGCTTTTTTTGTTTGATGAAGTGGTATCAACATTAAATACTTAACAAGTTGAATGGTGAAACTTGTTGAAGTATTTGTGAACAGATATTTTGAACACAGGTTTTGAAGACATATTTTTTTACATAGGTTTTTGAAGACAGTTTCTGAAGATAGATTTTCATGACAGTTTTTCAACATAGATTTTGAAAGACAGATTTGTAAACAAATATTTTGAACACAGGTTTTTGAAGACAGAATTTTTTACACAAGTTTTTGAAGACAGTTTCTAAAGACAGATTTTCAACACAGTTTTTGAACACAGATTTTGAAAGACAGATTTGTGAACAGATATTTTGAGCACAGGTTTTTGTAGACAGATTTTTTTACACAGGTTTTTTAAGATAGTTTCTGAAGACAGATTTTCAGCACAGATTTTGAACAAAGATTTTGAAAGATAGATTTGTGAACAGATTTTGAACAAATATTTTTTCAACACTGTTTTTTAAGACAAAGTTTTGGAGACAGATTTTGAACAAAGATTTTGAATAAAGCTAGAGCTCAGTGCAAGTGAACATAAATTGAACAATGCAAATGTTTAAAATTATGAAACAATGTGTTTTCATATCTTACTAAACACCATTAAGAGAGATGGTACATTGACGTAAATAAACCAAATTATGAAAACAACCAAAAAGTAAATAATCCAAAAAAACATAAAATAAATTATCCAAAACAAAATAAACTCCATTAATATATTCCACATACTTCAACAAGTTTCACCATTCAACATCAACATCAACATTAAATACTTAACAAGTTTCAACAAGTTTCACAATCAAAATACAATAGCTCAACAAGTTTCACCATTGAACATCAACATCAACATTAAATAGTTAACAAGTTTCAACAAGTTTCACCATTCAACAAGTTTCACAATTAAATACTTCAACTTCAACATCAACATCAATGTTAAATACAGCAGCTCAGAGGCATCTCATATGCATGAAATTTGAAGTGCCTTCCACCTCTTCATGGCCATCCAAACCCTGAAAAAAAAAACAGCACCAAAACTATACTTGAGCAAGACAAAATCAGCACCAAAACCAGCATTATAGCAGCACAAAATCAGCACGAAAAACCGCATTTTAGCAGCACAAAATCAGCAACAAAAGTACCAAATCAGCAGCAAAAGTACCTCAGTATACAGCAGCAAATTATTTGTTGACCGAGAACCTATCTGTGAGCCTTGAGAATCTTCAAACCCAATGTCATACCCACCTTGAAGTAGTGTCATAAATGTTGGTTGTCCACAATATGCCAAATTGTTTGCCTACAATTCATTCATATTATATTACGATTCATAACAAGATGCAAATGAAAAATTAATTAACAAAACACAAATTACTTGGCTACAAATCTGACTCACATCATATGTGCGATATATTAATGGAGGAGGAATTGTACCACCCATGGCAACGGAATAAGGAGGAGGAAGGGGAGCAAGAGGAGGATGAAGAGGAGTAACATTTTCATAAATACTTACATCTCCTCCAATAGATAATAGTGAAGGTCTCATTGTTGGAGCAGCAACAGGTCTTGAAGAACTCAAAAATTGTGCACGGGACTTCTTTTTAAAGCTTGCTTGCAATGCCAGCTCACATGGACCTTTTATCCTTCTTTTGCCCTTACTAATTGGATGCTTTTTCTTCAATCCTATTGGAATTTACACAAGATGATTGTTGTCTTCAGAACTCAGTTCCAAGATTTAAGGTTGATCATCAATACTTGCTTCTTTTTCGATACAAAAATGGGCACTTATCTTCCTTTCAACATTTGCACCTAATGCAGCGAGTTGTGAACAACAAAAATCATAAGTTTCCTCAGTTTCAGCAGCTCTACATGCTATTGATCTAAATGCGGTCATCAATGTCTTATACCGTGAGGCTTGTTTGAATTTGACGTCTACTTGAATCTCATTCCCTAACTTGTCCGTCACAACTTCTCCTCTTTGCTTGTTTGGTCCACCTCTTCATAATGTATTGTGAAGGAATCTCTTTCAACTTCAATATTTCTCTCATAACCTTCAAACAGTGACTGCACAAAATCCCTTTCCTTTCAAACTTTGAACAACTACAAGCCAAAGAGCCATCCATCTCCATTTTCACTTTCCTTGCATTTTTCCCAATAGCATCAACAACTGTGTATAGGCTACAACCATCAATGTATTCAATTGCTTGTATGTCTGATTCAACAGAAAGAAAATACTCATCTTGAAACTCCTCAAAAATATTTTTAGTGTACACATTACCCATTTGACTCAACATTATGAATGGCGCTCGCACCCTTGGCAACCTTTGGCATAAAGCATATCCAGCTTCTAACTCCTTGTACCGCTTCTCACAAAGTACCCTTTCAAAATGCATGAAGAATTCATTTAAATTAAAATCAGAACGAATGTAATCCTTCAAAAATGCATTAAAAGATTCACTAAGTTGTGTTGTACTCATTCCCGCAGCCCATGTTGATCTAACATATGGCCAGCCCCATTTTTCCTTCACCCCAAAAATCAACTTCAACCAATGATTGTCATGAGCATCATATGTATCAAGCATTTCCCCCCACTTCATTTCCCATTCATTTTCATCCTCAATATCAAACATGAATCTATTTAATACACCTTTCACCCCCTTATCTTGAAAGAGACAATTACCATGCCTTAATGCATTTTGCATCAAGTGCCAAGTGCACAAACGGTGACTCGTGTCAGGCATGACAATGGGTATGGCCTTAGCCATTGCAGCATCTTCATCGGTAAACAAAGTTTTTGGTGCCTTTTTTGACATAGCCTCTAAAAAAGTTTGAAATAACCATACAAATGTTTCGGCAGTCTTATCATATAACAACGCAGCACCAAAAACAACTGTTTCTCTATGGTGATTACATCCCACAAAAGATGCAAATGGCCTATGCTCTTTATTTAACTTGTAGGTAGTATCAAATGTAACTACATCACCAAATTGGGCATAATCCATGACCATTTGTGCATCGGCCCAAAACATATTCCCTATTTGCTCTTCATTGTCTAATTGGAAAGCATAAAAAAAAGATGGATTCTCCAAAGATTTTTGTTGAAAGTATTGCAACACATTACCTACTTCCCCATACGCTAAACTTTTTTGTCTTTTGGTTCTCAAGTAATTTTTTTGATCTAATTTCATAAAACCAAGAGACTGCCGCCCTCCAGCTTCCCTACCCATCAGTTCAAAAGACTGCCCTAAACGAAGACCAGACTCTGAGGCTAAGTCTAACTCAATTGCTTGGGTATCTGATATCTTTCTTTGCGATGACAACATATGGGCACAATCAAGAGATACAAGTTCATGGTTGTGTTTTTCTTTGAAATCAATCACAACAAATTTCCCACTATTGACATCCAATTTAACAAAAAGTCGGGCCTCACAACCAGTCCTAGTTTCAGCTCTAGGGGTTTTTGTCAATGGGTCTCGCTTGTCAACCTTCCGAAATCCCTCTTTGTTGCAAACCAAATTTCTAGAAATAATTTGTTTTGTTAACTTGTTCTTCTTACAATATTCCCTTCTTATGCTAAATCCCATTCTTCCTCCATATGCATTATAAAAATCGTACGCACTTTCTTCCGAATCAAAGGTCATTCCTACTTTTGGCTTCCAACCACAATCATTGTCAGGTTCCATATCCATATAAAAACGCAACTGAAAAGTAGAGGCAATCAAACGGTAGAACAGTAATTAGAAACATTACTTAAATGAACTTATAGCTTCATTCAACCACAATCATTTTTTTATTGTTCTTCATTACCTCCAATTACAAAGAAGTGCAGGTCTTGAATGAACTTATACAGAACAACATGTCAATGGTTTAGGTGATTTTTATATCTTCCTTGTATTAATCTGTTGTTTCA